GGGTGCCACAGAACTGCATTGGTGTGTGTGTGTGTGTGTGATGGGGCCTGAACTCTGGGTCTGGCCTGGGTGCTGTCCCTGAGCTATTCAGCTCAAGGTGATCGCTCTAACACTTAAGCCTCAGCACCACTTCCAGTTTTCTGAGTGGTTTATTGGAGATACAAGTCTCATAGACTTTCCTGTCTGGGCTGCCCTTGAACTGCGATCCTCAGATCTTAGCCTCCTGAGTATCTAGGATTACAGGCGTGAGCCACTGGCACCCAGCATTAATAAGATTTCAATACTGCAGTACCAGGTTGTGGATAAATTATCTATAGAACCCTCTGTCAATGTCAACTTTCTCTATGTATCTATAAATATAGGTCTGCATAGTCTTTTCTAAGGTTTTTAAAGGGTACTTTTTCCTCTTTCATTCTGGTATCATTTCAAATTTATTTCTAGTGAGTATAACAAAGTAATGTTGTATTACTGAATTTTCTCAATTTATTCCACACTTATAAACTTAATTTTGTGAACCTGCTGTTTCTTTTGAGATTACCTGGGAATACTGAAAGGGGTGACACTGATCAAGATGCTTTGTATTCAAAATCTGCTTTGTTCAATGACTCCTTTAAACAACTACTTAAACGAACATATTTTAAAAAATAAAGTAAAAATAAGTAAAAAGGAAAGAACACATTTTGATTTTATTATTCTACTGTTTTTCCTGTCATTGTTTTCTGCTCTTACCCTTGAATCCATTCCTTCTGCTTCTGCTTTGTTTGCTGTCTAACATCTTAAATTTTAGATGTTATTTATTACCATTCCTTTATTTCCCTTTATGTTTTGCTTAGGTATTACAGGAAAACCCCCAAGTCAAGTGCAAGCAGTTATTGACAATATTGTATTATTGTCATTGCTCAGGAATGATACACAACTCTTAAGACAATTGGAATTTCCAGGAATGCTATGAGTCAATTATCTGTCAGACTGTGAATTATTACTCTGCAAATATTTGCAAATTGCATTCCAAGTGAATGTCTCGGGAACACAGGGAATTTTCAGGGTGGATTTTTATTTTTCATGTCAAAACTTCAGGTTTAGAAAGTTTATGCAGTAAATATCTTATCCTCGCTCTTTCTTCAATCCAATAAATATACTCTTGGTGGACAAATGATTCAGTATTAAAATCCAATCACAAACGTGTTTTAACTTCAGAATTACCCACAAGACAACACCAATGCCTACAGATTTGCAGTAGTTACCAGGACCAAGGCGGGTGATAGGGTACAACAATGACTCAGGACAGTTTCATTGAGGACAATTACCACCTTACACCAGAGTATCAGTGACAAGAAATCTATTCAGAGTTGAATCCTCTGAATCAGAGAGAGCAGAATCTTTTACATTCTGTGGCAGAATGGAGAGGGGCTGAGTCTGCTGCACACAGTATAAACATGCTTCTTTGCAGGGGAAGAGAAAGCAGAACTCAAGTGTTTCAATGTCAGGAAGCTTGTTGGGAGCCCAACAAAAAGCATCCATTTACAATTAGCAGCTGAATGACACAGGTTCAGAGAGGCTGAGGCAATAGCTTGGCAAAGTCCACATCAAATAAGTGACTAGCCATACAACAGACAAGGACCTCATATCAAAAATATACCAAGAGCTCAAAAAATGAACCATACCATAACAAATCCTCAAAGAAACAACCACCCCATTAATAAGTGGGATAAAGAATTAAAAAGAGACTTCTCTGGAGAGGAAATAAGAATAGCCAATAGACACATAAAGAAATGTTGAACATCCCTGGCCATGAAAGAAATGTAAATCAAAACTACATTGAGATTCAACCTCACCTCAGATAATAGATGTTAGCAGGCATGTGGCCTAAAGGAGATGCTACTACACAGTTGGTCGGAGTATAAACTTGTTCAGGCACTCTGGAAAGCAGTATGGAAGTTCCTCGAGACTTAACATAGGGCTCACCTATGATCCAGCAATCCCACTTGTGGGCATTTACCCAAATGATCACAAAGAAGGTTACACTAAAGCTACCAGCACAACCATGTTCACTTCACTGCAGTATTATTTACCATAGTTAGATAGGGAACCAACCCAGACAGCCCTCAGTAGATCAATGGACCAAGAAAATGTGACACACACACACACACAATTTCATGCTTCTATCTGAAAGAATAACATTGCCCCATTTGTAAGGAAATGGAAAGACTTGGGAAAAAATCATATTAAGTGAAGTAAACCAGGCCCAAAGAAACATAGGCTTCATAGTTTCCCTCATTTGTAATAACTAGTGTATTGTCTAGGATAGTCCTGAGGATCACAATAGCTCAGGGTACGTACATATGGCCATATAAAATGATACTAATTGAAATGAACTCCAAGATATGGAAACGAGAGTTTTGTTGGGGCTGGGAAGGTGGCTCAGTGGTAGAGTGCTTGCCTTGCATGCATGAGGCCCTAGGTTCGATTCCTCAGCACCACATTAGCAAAAAGAAAAAAGCTGGAAGTGGCACTGTGGCTCAAGTGGTAGAGTGCTAGCCTTGAGCTGAAGAGCTGAGGGACAGCGCCCAGGCCCAGAGTTCTGGCCCCACGAGCGGACCTCCCCCTCCCCCCAAAAAAAGAGTTTTTTTGTTTTTTTAATGTACTGTGTGAAGTTATTTTTTTTCTTTAGTTTTTTTTTTCCCCTTTGGCTTACCCTCTATTGTCACTGTTTTTGATTTTGGTGCACTCTGTCTTGTATATACGTTTATCTGATTTGGGGATGGGAAGAGGAATAACTAAATGGTGAGACAAAGAATAAAGGGTGAACCAATGCAACAGCAATACTCACAAGAAATGGATTTTACAACTGGGGAGGTAGGGGAGCCAGGGGAAAAGAAAGTGGGAGAAAATAAGGGGGGGTAACATTGTTTGACAAGAAATGTATTCATTACCTTTACAATAGAATAAAATACAATTCCGAAAAGAAGTGACTACGCTTGGGTCCAAGTCGGCTTGCCTCCAAACTTGGACTTGGCCTTTCACTAGGACAGTAGCTTCATGACTTAAAAGGACACAATAGTGATAAGAAAGAGCTTCACTTTCAACTGGATAAACAGATGAAGTTCAGTTCTTCAGGATTAAAAAAGGAGAATAAACTAGGAAGAGGCCAAAAAAACCCCATGCCACAGGCCATCTCTCCATGTGTAATTTCACACAAAGACACTTAAGATAGAATGACACCTGCAGTATAATCTCAAGTTGGCAAGGCCCTGCCTGCGTCTTGGCATTCCTAGGAAACCCATTTCATTTTCAGATAAGAAGTATTTTAATGATCATATAATTGATGGACATAAATGGCTTCAAAATATTTGAATATTCTTAGAAACCCACTAAACATAATTTAGGTTTCCTTCATTAAGACTGTTAATCAACTAATTTCTTGAATAGCAAGAGGCAGTATAACTCAATTTATACTGCTGCAATTCAGTAGGGTAGTGAAGTGCAAATTTCTGAATTATCTATCAAATCCTGGCAACCTTCCTATCTAACTTTAGGTTTAAGAGTGAGTGTGTGTGTGTGTGTGTGTGTGTGTGTGTTGGTAATGAAGCTTGAACTCAGGGCCTGGGTTCTATCTACTTCTGACTTTCTAGTAGTTAACTGGAGATAAGAGTCTCATGACCTTTCCCTTCCTGGGCTGGCTTCAAATCTGAATCCTCAGATCTCAGCCTCCTGAGTAGCTGGTATTACGGGTGTGAGCCCTCAGTCTCTGGCTTCCTGTCTAACTTGAATGTGCACTGTTTCTCAGAATTCAGTGACTGCTCAGGGGAAAGTTCCTAGCTATGGTAGGGCAACATGTCTCCTTGAACTTTTCTTACATACATTTCCTATTTGACTGAGTCAACCATTTTTACTAGTGGCCATTTAGAGGTGGAAGAAGAAATGGGAAAGACAAGTCTGATACCTAGTTAACACCCAAATACAGGAAATACAAATACAGATAAACTCTTTAATTTTGAGGTACATTCTTTGTGCTAGCAATCCCCAAATGGAAATTTAGCTTACAAATATAATCATATACATATAATGAATATAGGTATTTATAGAAGTGAAAAAAAACAACAACTGGAAACAAACACATAAGAAATCTGCTGAAATAAACTATAGTAAATCACATCTTTCACCCTTACTAGCTAGTGAAAGTTTCAAGTGTTCTGGCTTTTGCATCTGTAAATATTCAGGCATGTTCACCTCAAGGGTTGCTGTGGGGACTGTATTAGTCAGTGTGCTTACGAGCATTTACATCAAGCCATCAGTGGTGTTATTATCATAATACCAGGTAACAGATACGTCAGTTTAAGTAAAGGAAGTGGTTAGCGCAAACATTAGTATGTACCATGCATACGAAGTCTTAGAATCTTAAAAAGTAAATTAATTTTGAAAGGAAAAGTGACAAATGTGTATTTCTCCCACGTTTGTACCAGCAGGAAAATATCTGGAAGAAGGACAAAGTCTGTATAGTGGAGAATGAACTGGTTTCTCCAAGGAAAGGCTCAGGACTGAGACTCCAGAGGGGCCTTTCCAAACATTTGGAGATCCTTCACAGGGGTAATAGGATATAGAATCTAAGAAGTTGTGGCCGTTGGTGTTTTTATACTTTATTGTTAACAGAAATTAACTGATTTTAATCAGCTAGAAGCAGAGAACCTACATTCAACTTGGGGCTTTCATGACAATTTTTGTATGACAATAAAGCCATTATATATTAACACACACTCTTTTCTCATCAGCACTCCAAATCCAAGTATGGGATTTTAGAGGCAGCCACAGAAGCCTGGCTGTGTGTGCCACTGACCTGGACACATATTCCGGCAGGACAGACTGTGCACCCTTGCTTACCTGGGGCCTCAGGCCAAGACAAACAGTGTGTGCCAGCAACATCACGTTAGAGGAGACTATTTATCACTTGGTGTCTCCATTTCTGAAGACACAGATGCTACCGTCACCTACAGAAGCAGTGGGCCAGTAAACAAGACAGCCCAAATAACAAGTCTGGACCTCAAGGTTTGGGTGAACGGCTGACAGCACTGTCCACAGTGTGATGTCAGTGCTACTGCAAAACTCAAGAAAAGGCCTCGGAAGCTTGGACTTGGTGTCTCCTAGATGCTTCCCTATGCAACTCTTTCCTACGTTCATGTTCATTTATCTTCTCACATGGGAGTAAAGCCCTTCAAACACAGTGGTGAACCTGAGGGTAGCATGTATGCACACTCTCAAACTCACTGTGGGTCAGAAGTAAAGGTAGTGTGGGACCTAGACCATTGTCTGCAAAACATAACAAGACCCAGGCAAAAGCAAGCCCATCTATAGCAGAGGAGAGAAGTTTTCAAACCTCTAACTTTACTCAGGAAGCCTTACCATCTTGCTTTTCACAAGTTCTTCAATGGCACTGACGAGCTCAGCTGCACTTGGTGTTTCGGAGCTGGTGGGACGGACCAATAATCGAGAAGAGGCCTATGGGAGAAGTTCGGAAGAGGGACGAGGAGAAGCCACAGGTTAGTAATTGGAGAGACAGCAAGTTCCCTTGTAAGCTCCAACTCTTTTAAAAAAGGAATTCCAGACAAAAAAGACCAGTTTGTCTTCGTTTGCATTTATTTAGTCATTCCTTTAAATTTACAATAATCTGACATGAAATATTAAATAGAACCTATTTAGGATACATGTGGAAAGCAGACAAGGTCTGTTTTTAATCTGCAGTCATGTAGCATTGTAATGTTTTTCAGAGAGGTGACTGGGTCAGGATGCCCTATCTGTAATATTGCCATTGAAACTGCTGGCTAGGAATCAGAATCTGGTCAACAGAAGAGAGACTTAAGTCTAATGGGCGAATCCTCAAATAATCAGGCAATAAAACAAGCTACTAACAATGGCTTTACTGTATTCATGAGAGTAAGAGAAAAAAAAATGGAGAGAAAAGGAAAGGAACCAGGGTGCAGTGACCAGGTAGGGAGGAGAGGGGGACAAGCTCACCATTTCCTGTGCCATCCATTTCCCCAATGCTTAGTGCAGAGTACAGAAGAGCTGACGCCTCACAAGCTATGAGATGCCACTTATGGCTAGAATCAAGGGTGTAACGGGTTGACAGTAAGGAAATCTCAGGGAGGGGCTACTGATTGCCAGTTTTCAGTAATTAGCAAACACAGTGGGTTTGCAGATTACTTTCACCGTTGGTTTACTGGGAACTAGAAGAGGGGCATAAGTAATATGAACCTTGCTTCATATTATGGACAGCGGAGATGCATGCGACACATGGCTAGCTGTCCTAGCGATGCATTTCTCATGGTAGACAGATACATATTTATACATTTACAAGGCTTTTACATATGTGGATCAATATATACACTTTACAAAACAAATATTGGTTTGGTCTGATGAAACTTGGACTATGAAGTGAACAAAACAAAGAAAAAAATTCAAATGGAAAGGTAAGGAAACTGAGCCAAAACAGACACAGAACACAAATCAACATAGTGCTACAGTGAAAGTTTACAAAAAGAGAAAACAAAACAAAACAAAAAATTAGTCAACAAGATAATATACTGTTTGGGAATATCACTAGACTTTTTTAAATGAAAAATTCTTATTGATAATATTCACTGATGTAACACAGTAACCAGTTAAGTGATTCAAAAACAGTAGAGAATACAGTGCAATTAACTCTTTAAATGGAGAACACAATTCTTTATTTTGGTGAATAAGCCAACAAGCCTGGTCACTCATTGTCTGGACAATCACCCAGCCTTAATAAATTCCAGTTTTCTGCCTTTAAAAAAGGCATAGTTGAATGTTACAAAATAGCTTAGGAACTGTCAGAAAACCCACATAGCCTTTACCTTCTTCGACAGTTCCATATGTATAGGGTAGTCCCTCAGCGGGCCTACAGTGATGGTTACATAGAATTCCACAGACCCAAACCCAAGCTAAACTCTAGCTCACACTTGGGCCCAGACCTACAGCACCCTCACCTCACAGTGCAGGGCCTGCCTGCTAAAGGGGAAGGAGAAGCACATTCCCATAGATAAGGGGCAGTGGAAATGTCTGCCTTGGTTAAGACTACAGCATTGTGCTGCAGGCTCATGGCTGCCAATCACTGTTCAAGGCAGATCCTAAGGTTACTAACACAGTGAATGATTGCCAGGACTGACAAGGGAGTCAGGGGAGGAAAAGGGGGGAGAAATGGAGAAACAAAATGTTGAAGCACATCTATTTTCTTCAGAAAACTTAAGTTACTGCCAAAACAAAAACCCAGCAATGACTTCAGAGCATGATTTTCAACACCTGACAATTTTGATGGGCACTACAGGGCTAGAATACTAGAGTGGATAAGTGAGTTACATTCATCAGTTTTCCTTTTTGATATTTTATTTTTAGGGTTCTACAATTGAAATAGACAAAATAATTTAAAATTATGTAAGAACTAAGAAAAGAAAAAAAGATTCACATGGCTTGAAGCTTTCAAATGCAGTTTTCTGCACTTTGGTAATTATGCCCATACTCGGGGGTGCTGATCCTATGAACACTTTGTCATATTGGGAAAGTAGCTGGACAGCTACACACCTGCTTTTAAACTGAAAACTATGTGCAAAAGCACTTCACAGAGGGAGCAATGCAGCCTACTATTGGTTTGCATCACATTCAAGAAGGCTGTATGGAGTTCCTTTGTTTGTCCTCTCAAACTAATCAAAGAATTTGGAAACAAAAATTTCTTTATAATTACTGATATGTCACGCAAGCACAGTAAATATTTTTTATTCAACCCCATGGATATAGCCCATGTTGCCTAGTGCTTCATTTAAATGGGCTAGTTATTTACACTTCAGGCGCAAATAGTCGGACTCTTGCCTAGGAAAGCACCAGGCCACCAGGCATTTTGTCCACAGGGTCTTCTAGCCCTGAAAAGTGGGGATGGTGTGAAGCAGCTACTGAAGGGCTCCCACCCCTTGCACAGATGGGTACAAGCTCCCCTTTACCTTGTCGTCCTGTGAGTCCGGCTGCAGGAGGCTGTGCTGCTGGATGGCCATGGGTGGAGGCAGCGGCACTGCGTCAGCCCCTTCCTCCCCTTCTTCTTCCCCGCAGCTCTGCATCCCCGAGGAAGAGGATTTTGAGAGTGTGCCACTGCTGAGGCCCTCGTTCCGGCCCCTCTGAAATCAAATCACCAGTTACTCATTAAACTGCGGGCATTGACTTCCAGTATCAGCTCGCATACCCGGCCAGTAAAAACCTGTGGCTTAAAAACATGTCCAGGAAAGGGAGTCTAAAACACACCTATCAAACTAATGAATTGAAACAAATCTGATCCGGCCTCCTTTTGACTTGACTTTTTTGAGCCTGTGTGGACTTTGAGGAGTCCAAGGTAAAAAGCTTGAAGGCCCTTAATCAAACTTTCCAGTTGTTTTAGGGTTATGAAGGAACTCTTATTTCTTGCAATATAACTTAAAATGCCTAAACAAAAAGCAGGAGGGAAAAACCCCCTCAAAGTCACTAACTTCAGTGACATGGGAATAACCTGGTGTTTCCTGTATGGTCAGTGAAAGCAATTATCAATTGGATACTTTCAACTCAAGACAAGATGTAAGGGGTGGGGTGGGGAAGATGGGAAGGGATGGGAAGGGGAAACAAAGGAGGAGGCAACAATGCTTGATAAGAAATGTACTCATTATCTTGCCCATATAATTGTAGCCCCTCTATACGGTATTTTCACAATAAAAATAAATAAATAAAGAAAGAAAGAAAGAAAGAAAGACAGACAGACATGATATAAGTTTAAATTGTGGAAAAAGAACTGGAGGATGTCAACACTCCACATGTTCTTCAACCAATGTCTTCTGCATGGAGATACCCTGGTGTTTGGTGCTCATATCAGACTGCTCACCGGCTGGACAGAACACAGTGGCTGCTGGCTTTGCCTGGAGACAGAGTGAGGAGGAGAAGGGCTCAACCCTGTGGTACCCACTTCTTCATGGTGCAGGTATGGAGAGCTGACTAGCTTGGAGGAGCTCAGTTTGGTCTGGTTTCTTTTCAGAAGTCATGTGTGTCTACAGAGAAATGTGTCTACAGAGAAATGGTTTCTAATGCATTTTTTTCTCCATCCATTCTTTTTCTTGTTGTTTTATCTTTCTTCTCCTTCCTTCCTTCCTTCCTTCCTTCCTTCCTTCCTTCCTTCCTTCCTTCCTTCCTCTTTCTTTCTCTCTCTCTCTCTTTCTTTTCTTTCGTCGGTTGTGGGGCTTGAACTCAGGGCCTGGGCGCCGTCCCTCAGCTCTTCAGCTCAAGGCGAGTGCTCTACCACTTGAGTTACAGCGCCACTTCCAGTTTCCTAGTGGTTTATTGGAGATAGGAGTCTCACTGTCTTTCCTGCCCAGGCTGGCTTTGAACCTTGATCCTCAGATCTCAGCCTCCTGAGTAGCTAGGATTACAGGTGTGAGCCACCGGCGCTTGGCTCATTTTAATTTTTTTTGTACTAGTCCTGAGGCTTGAACTCAGGGCCTTTGTGCTCAAGGCTAATTCTCTAGCAGTTTGAGCTACAGCACCATTTCCAGCTTTTTAGCAGTTAATTGGAGATAGGAGTCTCACGAACTTTCTTGCCAGGCTAACTCTGAACTAAGACCTGCAAATCTCAGCCTCCTGAGTAGCTTCATTCATTCACTTATTTTTAAGTAAATAGAAACTTGGTACCTGATGTTTTTGCTCACTGGGTAGTGCTCCATCAACTGAGCCACCCCTCCGACTCCCTTGCTATGTTACTTTTTTTTTTTTTTTTGTCAGTCGTGGGGCTTGAACTCTGGGCTTGGGAGCTGTCCCTGTGCTCTTCAGCTCAAAGCAAGTGCTCTACTGCTTGAACCACAGCGCCACTTCCGGTTTTCTAGTGGTTTATTGGAGATAAGAGTCTCATGGACTTTCTTGCCCGGGCTGGCTTTGAACCATGATCCTCAGATGTCAGCCTCCTGAGTAGCTAGGATTTCAGGCTTGAGCCACCAGCGCCCAGCTATGTTACTTTTGAGAGAGGGTCTCACTATGTATCCTGGCTAGCATTAAACACAAGCTATGTGGGTATAGGATGCTGGTGATTGGGGGTTACACCGAATTAGTTTTGTCTGGTTTCACAAGACAAGCAACTACTCCTAACTGGAAAAAAAAGAAAATGTTTGGAAAGGCTCTAGCCTTTGACCTCCCACAATTTAAATAGCTGTAGTCACAGGCCAACTATGCAGACCCACCTCTTCCACTGTCTCGTCCTGTGGGGTGGCTGCGCTGTCATCCGAGTCCTTCTGTGAGCCGGTGTCGGTACTTTTACGGACTTCTCTGCTCTTCTTGTGCTTGTGGGCAAGCTTCTTCACGTGCCCATCAGCCTTGCCACTGCTGAGCCGCCTCACTGGACTGGTGAGCCACTTGCGCAGAGTGTTGCCAGGCCGCTTGGGGCCAGGTGAGCTCTGGGCTCCAATCATGTGAGGCTGGAGGGAAGCTACGGAGGCAGGTGGACTGGCATCATTACTGGACACGGACAGCGAGTCTAACAGGAAAGACAAAGAGGGAGTTTTACTGAACATGGCACAGGGAGAAAGTCTGTCATTCACTAGACAGACGCTCACTCCTCCTGGAGCTTGATTGTTGGCTTTACCTTTAGGGTAGAAATACTGAGGAAAGGGCTGATGACTGTCTGTCTGTCTGTCTGTCCTGGGTTTGAAGTTTGAACATACAGTCTCACATGCTAGGCAAGTGCTCTCACTTGGAAGGGCCCTCAACGCTTTTTCTGTTCATTTTTTTAGATTAGATCCTATGTGTTAGGTAAATTAAAGAAGGTAGGTTTAGTTAGGTAGCTGGTACAGACAACACTGTGTGGTATTCAGGCAGGAAGAGAAGTTTATTTATGGAACTGCTGCCCCGATGTGCATGGTGGAAGAACACAGGCCAATGTGGGGAGCTGAGGTCCTGCCTGGGTTTCAGTAGGGAAGGGGCGGGGGAGAAGGTAGGGCCAGGTGAGGGAAGGTGTGGCCACACTGGACACATTATGTGTTTGCTAAGGACCTGCACCACGATCCTTCTATCTATACCTCCTGTGTAGCTTATACCTCCTGTGGGCAACCATGCCAAGCTCTACTGGCTGTGATGGGAGGTCTCACTAATTTTTTGCCCAGGTTGACCTAGATCTGTGATTCTCCATGCATGGCCTTCATTCTTACTTTGTGAATGTTTAGGAAATATAAGTTTGCTAGAGATACACTGTCCCCTCAAAAAATAACTCACATTACCAAACCTGAAGACCAGTGTCATTACTGCAGACTTGAAACATAAATTGCTTAAAATACCACAGACATTGGAGGATTATATTTTGAACATAATTTCCACCTATCTTCTTTTTGTGTGTTTTTAAAATTTATTATCTTTCAGTAGATGTATAACGGAGTCACCATACAACAAAGCAGTTTATGAATACAATGCATCTTAGTTAATGTCACCCCTTTGAGTGTTTTCATCCCTCCCTCTCAAACCCCCTTCCTTTCACTTTTCTCAATTTTGTACAATGTGTATTGATTTTTTTTTTTTTTTGGTGCTAGTCCTGGAGCTTGCACTTAGGGCTTAGGCACTGCCCCTGAACTTCTTTTGCTCAAGGCTAGCACTTTATCTCTTGAACCACAGCGCCACTTTCAGCTTTTTCGTTTATATGGTACTGAGGAAAAGAACCCACAGCTTCATGCATGTTAGACAAGCACTTTACCACTAAGCCACATTACCAGCCTTTCTTTTACCCTCCTTCCCCTTGATCCCACCACACCCCTTTCAAGTATGCGTTTCCTAATGTTATTTTGTTGATCATGGGTCTTGAAGTCTGGGCCTGGGTACTATCCCTCAGCTCTTCAGCTCAAGGTAAGCACTCTATCAGGTGAGCCACAGCACCACTTCCAGTTTTATGGTGGTTAATTGGAGATAAGAGTCTCACAGACTTTCCTGCCCATGCTGGCTTTGAACTGAGATCCTTAGATCTCAGCCTTCTGAGTAGCTAGAATTAACAGGTGTGAGCCACCAATGCCCAGCTTATTTTGTTGACCTTTGACAATACCAAACTTCACCCATCTTCCTGATTAACAAAATCATGAAAAAAGATTTTAAAGTTAAAGTTAAAAATGTTTTAGCTATGTAAGTTGACACACATTATAAATTAAACTGTGTAAGTTACAAATAAAAAAACCCTGTCGTTCTTTAGTAAAAACAGTCATTTATCTGTCTACCTGTATATCTGTACACATAGTAAGAAATTTGTCCTGGTCAGACTTTGCTATTTGACACCCATATGGACAGGGCACATGCAGGGTGAAGGAGGTGACAGCACAGGCATAGCTGGTGAGTTTACAGAGCCAGCCCAGATGTACATGTAGCTTCTTCACTAGCAGACTCAGAAAAGTTATCTCACACATTAGGGAAGAAACAGCAATAATGAAAAAAGATGATGCACTTTAAAATCAAAGGAAGAGGAGAAGCCCCTCAAATGAGCCAAAATTCTCTATAGGAAACATATCTAAATCATGGTTTTTATTGGACTCTAAACAACAGAGCCAACCCTCATTTGGTAAGTTTTTAAGAGAAAAAAAATTTTTAGATTGAGCAACAGCAGACACTCAAAGAATTCCTAGGCTGGGCGTCGTTGGCTCATGCATGTAATCCTAGCTACTCAGGAGGCTGAGATCTGAGGATCGAAGTTCAAAGCCAGCCTGGGCAGGAAAGTCCGTGAGACTCTGAGGCCTCTATATACATACATGAATGAACTCCAGACAAGAACACTGTGGTTCGCAGCTGCAGCTTTATTAGCAGCATTATCAGTGCCTTTTAGCCTTGCCTGGGAAAGAAGCCGGTGGTCATAAAAGTTTCAAAACAAAAAGAAATTAGAAACATTTCCTAGCATCTCTATGGATTTAGTCCTCTGTCCTTTGGGAAGCAGGTCAAAGTTATTTCCTGCTCTCCTGGCAGGTCAAGTGTGGGAAGCATGGCCACCCAAACACTCCACCCTAGAGCTAGGAAGGTTCAAGCCATAGATGGATGCCAAGGGGTTTGGCACTGAGAAAGGGAACTGTGAAGGGAATGAGCAGCTTGTTCCCTGAGCTTGGACTTACAAACTCACCTAAGTGGTACTACTTCACTGGAATACCCAGTGCTTAGAGAAAAGCCACTGTGCTAGCAACTATCTCTAAGAACATTTAGCTGACTTTTGAATTTTACTTTGAAATGTGTTTCATTTCAGAAGGCTAAAGATGTGGAGGCAAGAAGTCCTCATCTGTCTCTAAGATTATTCTATCCTGTGTAAATCTGATACAATAATCGTAATTTTGGTGAAGCAAATTTTAAAAAGTCCAACCTATGGTAAAAAGATACATGACACCCCCCCCCCCCATTTCATGGCTGTAATGATCAATTCTTTGTGCTTGTTGACCCACCCTCTTTGGAAAGATATTAAAGTTAAAATTTTATTTTTAGTACAAAAATTCAAACCCATGGAGCCTAACAGTTCTATGCTGGGTTGTGACACAAAACTTTGAAAAGCTTAAAGTATTGAAACTTCAACATTCATGGAAAGACAGTATCTGTTTTCAGTTATATGAAGAACAAACTCGCCCATTAGACCAACTCTCCTGTTGCAAATTCTGAATTGAGCCAGGTGCTCCAGCTGGATGCAAGGGGATCTTTTCTGTAATCCCAGCTAGACAAGGAGGATGGCAATTCCAAACCAGCTTAGGCAGAAAGACCCCTGAGACTCCATATCTAAAATATTCATCAAAATGTATTGGAGACATGACTCAAGTAGTAGATCACCAGTCTTGAAGCAATCAAGTAAGCAAGTTCAAGACTCTGCATGTAATATCTAATAATACTGACAACGATACAAAACACACTATAGGCGGGCATAGGTGACTCACCCCTGTAATCCTAGCTACTCAGGAGGCTGAGATCTGAGGATTGTCGGTTAAAGCCAGCCTGGACAGGAAAGTCCATGAGACTCTTATCTCTACTTAACTAGTGAAAAGCTGGAAGTGGAGCTGTGGCAGAGCACTAGCTTTGAGCATAATAGTTCAGGGACGGCATCCAGGCTCTGAGTTCAAGCCACTGGACCAGCACAAAACAAACAAAAAAACTCCCAAAATACAAACCATGCCCTAATGGCATCTCTAGTGAAGTTAAGCATAAATTCCATGCTGGCATTTATTATTTGCAGTGTCCTTGAGGAGATTTTGAATAGCTGATCTATACACAGTTGTGTTTCCCAGAAGTAAGTCCTGATGGCTATAACAGGCAGAGGGCTGTCAGAATGGGAGTCTGAGTCTACTGCTGAACCTAAGAAGTTCAGGCCCTGTGTGCACCTTTCCCCTAGGCATTGCCTCCTCCTGCCTCTCAGGATCTGATTGTGGACAGCTTTTCTCAACAGCAAAGATAATCCTCATGAGGAGTCCTGTGTCAAAACTCTACATGACCCATGGTTTCCCTTATTTGCAGTAACTAGTATATGTCTGGGACAAGCAGAAAAGGTCAAAAGCTATGTTCATATGACCAGCTACGATGATGTTAAGGGAAATGAACCCCAAGATAGGGACACAAGTGGTTTTTTCCTTCATGCTATTGTTTCTAACATATCTATAATGTACCATGTGATTTTTTTGTCTCTTTGTATGTTCCTCCCACATGGTAACCTCTGTTTTCACTGTATTTGATGTTGGTGCCCTGCATATTGTATATACACTTCTCTAATTTGGGAAGGGGAAGGGAAAAAACAAAATGCTTAAATAGAGATACAGGTTGACCCATTGTAACAATGAGATGCACAAGACACTATGCTGAAAAATGAACTTAACAATTTAGGAGGTGGGGGGAGTGTAGTTGTGGAGGTGGGAGGGAAGCGATGGCAGGGGAAAAACAAAGGAGGAGGTAACAATGCTTGATAGGAAATGTACCTTGCTCATGTAACTGTAACTCCTCTGTACAGTATTTTTACAATAAAAAAGGTACTGAAAAAAACTCTACATGACTAGTTCCCAGCATTTTTGCCTAGCTATCAAGATAAGAAGTTGACCATAATGGTAGACTCTTAGCTTTGTGGGGGTGTTATATCTGGCTTGTTTATAACTAGAGGCTCAACTACTGGTATAAATGATGAATAGGAGATAAATGATGAATAGGGGAGGAAATGAACCAACTATAGCCTGTTTCCATTTCTCCTTTTCTAGCTGACAATTCATGTGAACCACTGGAAGCAAAGATGTCCTGAGTCAGTTAAATATCCTGATTAGTTCTGTGACAAATTATATTATCTAACTGTAGTCAAGTTTGTGAATTATTTACTTCTTGGATGGCAATCGGAGTAGATCAAGACCTTCCTTTTTCAGCCTAATTCTCACTTGCCTGTTACAAGCTACTTTCCTTCTCACAGGCCAGAACTCAGAGGCCAGGCACCACCCTCACCCATCAAACGAGGCATGATTCAGGGCCAGGAAGAGTACTTTGGACCAAGATGACGTGAGCAATATT